CTCACGAGATTCCACGTATCGATACGTTGTTACCTTACCCTTCAAAGACGAAGAGCAGGAACATTCTTTCCCCGGATCTCGCGACACCGCTTTGCGTTGTTTATATTCACTAGAAAAAAGACTTCCAAAAAAATCCGATCTTCGTTTGCAATATAATGAGTTTATGAAAGACTATTTAGACAGTGGTCATATGAGCCCTGTTCCTATCGAAAATTTAAAGTCTGGAAAGTACTACATTCCACATCACTGCGTCGTTCGTCCGGAAAGTGTCACAACGAAACTTCGTGTTGTGTTCAACGCTTCTGCCAGGGATTCTAGAGGTAATTCGCTTAACGATACATTACTCATAGGGCCTAAACTACAAACTAATATTGTTGAGATACTTTTGAACTTCAGGGTTCACCTTGTTGTTTTTATGGCCCACATGCGACAAATGTATCGGCAGATCGTGGTTAGCGAGGCTGATCGTGACTACCAACGTATCTTCTGGTGTTTTGACACTAACCAACCCGTTCAAGAGTATCGTTTAAATACCGTCACGTACGGCATGTCTTCCGCTCCATTTCTCGCATGTCGTACAAGAAAGCAACTGGTATTTGATGAAGGTAAGGAACTACCTCTTGGAAGTAAGATTTTGTCTTCTGACTTATATATTGATGACTTGGTGACGGGTTTTGAGAGCCTGGAGACCGCTAAAAAGGCTAAATCAGAAATTATCGACCTGTTTCAGAGAGGACATTTCGAATTTCGCAAATGGGCGAGCAACGAACCGAAACTTCTTGAGGATTTGCCACCGGAACATTGTTTGACTAGTCCAGTGTCTCTCGATACCGATGAAAATAGCTTTAAATAGCTTTTTGAAGGTTTTAGGTCTAAGGTGGGACCCTTGGAGTGACTCTTTTCTCTTTGCGGTAAAACCACGGCACGTAAAATGCACCAAACGTAATATCCTGAGTGAAGTGGCTCGCATTTTCGACCCTTTAGGTTTTCTTTCGCCCCTTACCTTGATTGCTAAGGTCTTGGTTCAACGCCTATGGGTTCTTAATGTGGGCTGGGACGAGGACCTGCCTACCGATGTTGTACGCTTCTGGAATCGTTATCTGGACCAGATTCATCTCTTAGAGACTCTTAAAATTCCCCGTTGCGTGTCTGTCGTATCCATTATATCGTGTGAGCTCCATGGTTTTTCTGACAGCTCAGAAACCGGTTACGGCGCTGTAATGTATTTACGATTAGTCAATGTATTCGGTGAAGTAAGAGTGTTTTTCCTCTGTTCGAAGGCGCGTGTAGCTCCAACGAAATCAACCTCTCTGCCACGCCTCGAGCTATGTGCAGCAGTGCTCTTAATTGATTTATTAAAGTTTGTACATAACTCATATTTGCATAAGTTTTCTATTACTCAGGTCTATGCGTGGTCTGATTCGATGGTTGTTCTTGCCTGGCTTCGTTCACATCCTTCTCAGTGGCAGACATTTGTCGCCAATCGAGTCGCTTACATACAGGAAGTCCTTCCCATCACAAAATGGAACCATGTTTCTTCTGAGGATAATCCCGTCGATATCGCTTCTCGCGGACAGCTTCCATCCGATCTTGTAAACAATACTCTATGGTGGGCGGGGCCCTCCTGGCTTTTAGAATCTTCCGATCGCTGGCCTCAGCAGATCAATCTTTCCGAGGAAGAAGCTCTTAGAGAGGAAGCCTCCACGCGCTCTGTTAATCCATGATAATGCCCAGACTGACCAAATATCGATATTCGATACTCTTCTTCGACGTTATTCATGTATTCGAAAAATACAACGCATTCTATGTTGGTGGTTAAAATATGCCTCTTACCTTAGTAATCAGCGTTCGTGTTGCTCTGATCTTTTCCTTACTCGTACAGAGCTTCATAGTGCTTTAATGATGATTGTCAAACATGTTCAATCTTTTGCCTTCGTAACTGAAATTCGACAGTTGAAAGAAGGACACATTCTTTCAAAACAAATGCGTAAACTTAATCCGTTTCTAGACCCCTCTGGAGATCTCAGGGTGGGCGGTCGCTTAGCCAGATCTGGTCTCGAGTTTGAACATAGGCATCCCGCTTTGATTCCGCGTGATTCTAGATTCACATATCTCATTATCGAAGCGTTTCATCGTGAAAACTGTCATGCCGGTGTTAATACAATGCAGTATCTTTTAAACCAAAAATTTTGGATTATATCTGCCAAAAGAGCTATACGTCATTGCTTGTCCAAATGTGTGTCATGCTATAAAACAAAACCTGTGCCTCTTGAACCGTATATGAGCGATTTGCCTGCAATCCGCATTAATCAAGTCAAACCTTTCTCAGTTGTCGGTACTGATTATGGCGGTCCGTTTCGTATAAAACTTGGAAAGCATCGTGGTGCTAAATTAGGTAAAGCATATTTATGTCTTTTCGTATGCCTCACCACCAAGGCTATTCATCTAGAGGCTGTTTACGATCTCTCACCTGATGGTTTTATCGCAGCTCTTCGACGTTTCGTTGGTCGTCGCGGCAGAGTCAGTATAATTCATTCCGACTGCGTCCAGCGTTTTATGCAGAATGCGGCTCATAAGGAGAAAATCGAATTTCGTTTCAATCCTCCTTCGAGTCCCCACTTCGGCGGAGTGTGGGAAATCCAAATTAAATCTGTTAAATCTCACCTCTATCGTATCATAGGCGAGCAATCATTAACTTTCGAAGAATTAACCACACTTTTGTTCAAATAGAATCCCTGCTAAATTCGAGACCACTTTATCCACTCAGCTCTGATCCGAACGATTTAAGTGTACTAACGCCCGGTCTCTTTCTTACGATGGAACCGTTAACTGCGATTCCTGACGACGACTACTCGGTTTTAAATATCAGTCGCTTAGGTAGGTGGCAATTGCTCCAACGTTTTCAACAAGACTTTTGGAAGCGTTGAAAGCATGAGTACCTCCAGTCTCTCACTGTACGAGCTAAGTGGACTAAGCACGCAAAACCGTTAGAAGTGGGATCCGTAGTTATTCTTAAAACCGATAATACGTTACCATTGCATTGGCCTTTGGCCCGAGTAGAGGTGTTACATACTAGTCCTGATGGAATCGTTCGTATAGCTACCGTTAAAACTATCGATGGCTCTCGTCTTACGAGACCTTTGGTAAAGCTATGTCCTTTACCTAACCAATCTGACTAATGCGCTCTAGTTATTAAACTTAAATAATTATAAATAGTTTTAGTTTATAAAGTAGTTCATATGCCTTTCGTAATAAAATCTTAATTCTAAATTTTCGTATAAATCGTTTCATTTTATATCGAAAAATACTTTAACGTATTTTTGGTGGGCGGAATGTTCCGTTATCACTTAACCGTGGTTACTTATTTATTATTTTAAATGTGGGTAGGTTCGCAACGAGAACGATGCATCTGCGAATGTGGTTTTTTACTAGCCTAACGCAGACAGTTAGCCACTGATCACACGAGAGGACCTACGTCACTCCGTTCCGCGCCCGCGCACTCGATAACATCATACTCGTATAACCATTATATTTACGTCCGGTATATCAAACAAGTGGAATTCGTCAACAATAAACTGTGAATTTCTTCTGTGACTGTGTGTGCTGTTCATGTGCCCCTCTAGCTAGAAGAATACGCGGACCACAAGCTTGCGACAAAGGTTTCAAACGTGAGTACGTTACGCTATTAGCAAACCCATTCGTGATTGTGTATTTATCGTAATCTCGTTGCAGCCCCCTTTTCAATCGTTTTAATTACTAATATCGGCTGCCCCCAAAATGTATTTGCAATAACAATACAGTAAGGAAAAACATTTTTTGACGATTCCAAAGAGTTGTACTATGTATCCAATTTAAATAAAGATTTTTTTATTTTGATTTTGATTAAAGTGGTATCGTTGTCTGAGATACTAAAGTATCATCGTCTAATGAGTCCCATCTTTGAAATTGCCTTTATTGGATACTAGCGATCCGCCCCAGTTTTGTAAAGGTGAACTTTATTTTAATGTGATGAAAAATTACACCTTTGTAACTCAGTGATAATGAATCATCACGATGACAAATATTCCTTCTTTATAATATTACTATAGATAAGAACTTACGACCAAAATTGCACAAAAAATATTTTTAGCAGCCGCAGCAAGAGCGCCGTACCAAAAAAAATATCCAAACGTTTTTCGCTTGCTTGATTGAATTATTATGAATCACATTAATAAAAAAAACATTTAGTAGCAAAGTACGTTTTTATTTATTAATAAAATTTAATCTAGATATGTATATCTACTATATATATATATATATATATATATAAATTGGTAATTTTGTAGGCACGCGGACTAAATACCGAAGCATTTAACGAGCGGTAATCCAAAAAAAGTGCTAGTTACGAAACGTCGCATAATTTGAGGCCAGCCCGTTAATTTACGGGCCACAATCAGAGGGTAATTTGTGCCAGCGCCGTGGCCTGTGAATCGAAACGGCCCACGTTAATCACGGGCCCACTTGACGACCCGGGCCCCCCAACTGAATATCAATAGGGGTGCTGATTAAAATGCTTTAGGACACTCCGAGATTTATTTACGTGTTGCTGTTACTTAAACTTACCATTAAATCCATTTCATAGCTAAAATGATATTTACCTATTTACTGGCATCGGTACTTATTGGAGGTACCTAAGTATATAATATGCGTACAACTGCGTCACAGTACCTGCTATCGGTACCAGGGGGCAATCACCTAACCAAGTTGCTATGGCTATCGCTATCGCTTATGATTTCATTTTGTTATTTCTGACTGCCGAAAGTTTTCAAATACCTTACGCTCATTTTCTTTAATATTGTTGTTACCAATACAAAAGAAAATACAACTTCGAAAATAATATTAATACTAACTAATATTACTACTAATAGTACTAACGACGAACTTCGACAGATTTTTGGTTATACTTTTTGTAATTAGGTTTTAAAATGTTGGTTATAAAATACGACGTTTTTTTAGTGTTTCAGGTTTGGCTTTTATAAGATAATTAGAGAATTCAAGTTTCACTGAGATATTTAAATTTATGTAACAATTTTCCAAGTTTGTAATAAAAAGGAACAAAAAACATAATTAACGTTGGTACTTCCAAGACTTTTTGAAAAATTCATTTAACCGATGTTGAGCCGTCCACTGCTTCATAGCCCGTCGTCCAGAGTCAGGCCCATCGAGCAGATTCAGGGACTTTAATGCGGTCATTTGCATCATGAATATCAGAGCTGAAGGGTTCTTGTAGCAGCGCACCAACGGCTCCACCGTGACATCTGAACACAGAGTTATAAGTAGAGGCAAACTTCTTGAGCCTAACCACAGACAAATAAACTTGCGCAGTAGACCTTTTTGTATGTAAAATTGCTAATGCGCAGGCTTCCTTGCCTATGGTCATTGCTCAAGAAGTTTGCAGGGGTGTACACAAATAAAATCTAACTTCTTCTCCCATACCTGTGCGACGCAGCTTTGGTACTAAAATACGCTAATATTAGCTTTCGTAATTTGAATTATTTCCATCGTAAGTACTACTGCGCTCCTTAAGTTGCACAAACATAACATCGTCTCCTACAACCTCTTACATGCGTGTCAAAAATCGCCAGTCAAGCTATCGTCTAGCGTCTATAGAAACGCAGCTCAATAGTTTACTAATTATAGAACTAATTCAAGTTATGAACGCAACTTTTAGTGCATTTCGTACCAAAGTCACCCAAAGGTTCGTGCTAGTGTGTGAGAAGCATAGGGCACGCTCGACTTTTGGCTTAGCGAAGACCGCAGTGACGAGCTGCGCGCATTCGGAGCATGGGCTTCGCCTATAGTCCAGTCGTTGAGGGCTTTGATTCGTGGCGTGTTTCTTTTGTTTTCATCACTTGCCACATTCGCTAAGATGTCTCTCATAGAGGCAAGGACAAAGTCGAGTCATTAAAAGAGGTTAGCACAGCGGATTTTCTCAGCGGGTCTTGGGAGATAACTTTCACTTACAGAAGACCTCAGTGAAGTATCACTACTTTATGATTGTGTATTTCTGTTAGATAGTAATTTTCAATGGTTTTATAATGCGAGGATGCGTCACTGTAGACAATGCGTGAATGATACTCTTACTTCGGAAGTGTCGATACGGTAAATTACGGTATAGTGACCACTTGCCATCAGGCAAGCCATATTTGCCACCTTATTAAATGATAATGTAAAAAATGTTCGGATTTTTCAATAATAACGTGACAAGAGTGAAGGCTTTTATGATGAATGGATAACTACGTAATATAAAAATATATCATCAGCATAATAAAGCCCTACTTTTGGAGTACAACCATTGCTTATGGAGAAATAGTCTATGTATGACTGCAGATGCATCCCGATCTAATCACTTAACGTGCCCTCTTTGCTTGTGGTGAGATAATGATATCAAAATACTTACTAACGCCAGCAGCGCAGGACAGCAAGTCTATATGGCAATGGTTGATCATGGCCCGCATCTTGTACGTGGTGGGCCTCGTCCAGATCTTAGCGCAGGCTGGCTCGTATGTATCCACGCAGTACGTGGGGCACGTATGGTTACACACTTGGTGTGCACCGACGATGCTGTGGTCTGTCACCCGACGGTTGGATACGTGCACCTCTTTGGTGATGTTACAATACGCATCAGGCACTTGGTAAACGTCTATCGGATAAGATGTAAGTATTGTTTGTAACGCCAGTAGCGCAGGACAGCAAGTCTATATGGAAATGGTTGATTATCACCCGCATTTTGTACGTGGTGGACCTCGTCCAGATCTTGGCCCAGACTGGCTCGTACGGGTCTACGCGGAACGTGGAGCACGTGTGGTTGTACACTTGGTGCGTGCGGATGATGCTGTGGTCTGTCACTCCATGTTTGGGCACGACCACCTCTTTGGTGATGTTACAATGCGCGTCGGGCACTTGGTAAACGTCTTTCGGATAAAATAAATTGATGGAGATAGAGAAGAAGGATGGGAGCGTTTCCTAACCAACACAAGTAAAACTGGGTAGGTAAGTGAGACAGAAGCAAAGCGATCGAGCGTCCAAGCAGCTCGTCTCTTTAAGTATTACTTATCATGCCAGCTTCACAAGACAGCAAGTCTTTATGACAATTGTAGCCGCCTGCACCTTTTTGGTGATGTTACGAGTACAATGCGCTTCGGGTACTTGGTAAACAATTCTACTACTTAAACACCTTATAATACACTATCATCGAATAAAGCAGAGCCAAATCCATTTACTAACATATTCATACATAAAAAATACTAACGACTTCCTAAACATCGTTTTATCATGAAACAAAATAAAGGAGATTATCCTTAAAAACTTCAGTGTGGCGGTAACGTAAAAGCAACCAAAACTTTCCTATCAGAAGCTTGTGATAATGGAAGTGATCCGCAATAGGAAATCGAAGAGGTCACTAATGAAATTAAACTTTTCCCCCCAAATCATTAATTACTGGTGCCTGGGTTATAAAAAGCACTTAGATTTGACGCTTGACAAATCGTTTCCTTTTATAAGATTGATGGATTAATTAATGGAAAGATAAGAGCACACTTCTGCCGTGTCCTTTTTTTTGTTTCGAAAAAGGTTGGTCATTCAACTGTATACAGGTTCTTTTAAAGTCCTCCATCTCTAACTGTAGTGCCTCTCTGTAATAATTCTGAAATTAATGTTTGAGTTTACTTTGGAGATGAAAATCTAAGAAATGACTTTCATTTATTCAAGCTTGTTCTTACAATGTTGATATTTCTGAATGGAGCCAACGGCAATACATTATTCATACAGAATTATACGAGATAGTTAATTTGTTTGTATTTCAAAGTATGTATATTAAAAACAATCTATTTCTTTCTTTTCCTGTCTGACATGAGATTTTTCACATATTTGTTATATGTGTTATACCATTTCATATATTATATCAAATCATAAGTTTGTTCTAGGTATAGTATATTATATGGTAAAAAACATAACTTAAAATGATTTGTAAAATGCACTGGTTCAGAATAACAGTTATTATTTTTAACCATTTGTACTCTCGGGAACAATATTGTGTTTATGAAAGAGATATTAAAACAATAACTAAATTGTATTAATGCAGTTGCATTCAGAAATATTTAATCGCATTGCGTGGTAAAAGTTGCTTTTTCTTTGGAAAATGGATTTATACATTCAGTAAATTATACTACATAAAATGTATATATATATACTACATATTAAGGATGATATTTGAACTGATTGAGCTGTGTGTACAGTGAGTGAAGAAAAATCTTAAGTGCGTCAACTGCAAACTATATCGTGTAGAGAAGCCGTACCTTTCGAAGTTAGCTAACAACTTGATGCTTAGTTTACAATATTAAAGGGCAAAATCAGCTCTTGCCAAGTTTCTTGCACCCAACATAGCAAAAACTTCAATTCAGTCCAGTCGGAATAAACATGAGACCTATTCTAAGACACCAGCGCTTAGCCAATTTTTTCCTAGATAGTATAGACCCCCACGAATATGCCCTCCATTTGTCCCCGCTAGAACCCGTGTTTTGTAGCCAGGAAAATTGTTTAAACAAAGAAAAACCGTTTTTTTTGAGTTTTTTTGCTTGTAAACGGGGATTTTGAAAATTTTTTTGAATCAAAGTTGTTCATTAGCTTGCCCTCTACAAAATCAGTTCTATGAAAAAATAACGTGAGATTGTTAGTTTAGCAGTAAATTGCAATTATGTCGGTTTTACGTTTGCAACAATTCAACATGTTATAATAAACATTTTGATTTCTAAAGTAGTTTATCATGTGGGTAACGCCACTCCCAAGAGAGTCATGTAAAATTTATCGACCTGTGTCGCAAACTTTAGCAACAATTCTCAATCTCCGAAAAAAAAGTACTTGCCTGTCCCGTCTTTCCCAGAAGGCGCACAGCGGGGAAAAAAATTTTAGGTGATTCGATTCACCAAGAATTTTGAGGAATCGATCGAGTAGAAAAAAATCCCTAGTAAAAATGTTCGTTTTTGGGCGATTTAATTTTTTTTTAAAAATTGACGTAGAATGTTTTTTTTTAAACTAATGTATTTTTCTCTCCTCAACTCGAATATACTATTCTGAATATATATATATATAATATATATATATATAATATATATATATATATATATATATGTAATATATATATATATAATACTAATATACCCTGAGAATTCCGATTATGAACCGGAAGAAAAAAGGACGAAATTAATTTAATTAGAAATATAGAATACAACGCAGTCTTGTAATCGAATTTTAGTTAATAGTTTTGTAAATAATTTCTGTACATAAATAAACTGATTTTTTTAAATTTTCAATCGTATATTCGAGTTGAGGAGAGAAAAATACATTAGTTTAAAAAAAAAATATTCTACGTCAATTTTAAAAAAAAATTAAATCGTCCAAAAACGAACATTTTTATTAACGATTTTTTTCTACTCGATCGATTCCTCAAAATTCTTGGTGAATCGAATCACCTGAATTTTTTTCCCCGCTGTGCGCCTTCTGGGAAAGACGGGACAGGCAAGTACCTTTTTTTCGGAGATTGAGAATTGTTGCTAAAGTTTGCGACGCAGGTCGATAAATTTTACATGACTCTCTTGGGAGTGGCGTTACCCACATGATAAAATACTTTAGAAATCAAAATGTTTATTATAACATGTTGAATTGTTGCAAACGTAAAACCGACATAATTGCAATTTACTGCTAAACTAACAATCTCACGTTATTTTTTCATAGAACTGATTTTGTAGAGGGCAAGCTAATGAACAACTTTGATTCAAAAAAATTTTCAAAATCCCCGTTTACAAGCAAAAAAACTCAAAAAAACCGGTTTTTCTTTGTTTAAACAATTTTCCTGGCTACAAAACACGGGTTCTAGCGTGGGGGTCTATACTACCTAGAAAAAAATTGGCTAAGCGCTGGTGTCTTAGAATAGAAGTCGGTCCAAATTATGGCTATTCCGACTGGACTATATTGCTTGTTGTAGGATCTCTCTCTAGCCGTTGATTTGCGAAGAGATGACTTAGATTTTCGACTTTTATAAGCAATTGAAAAGCTATTGAATTTTTTTTTAATATAACATCAAGATAGATTTCGGTTTCGTAATAGTTATTTATGCAACTGTTGTATAATAAGGGATATTAAAACACGAATGGGTGTTATAGTATAACATGAATGTTTTAATTCCTAATTATAAACAGTTGCATACAAGACTTTATCTATACCCATGATATGAATCCTCTATACAAGATTCTGAAACCAGGGGGCATTCCAAGAATTTAAAATTCATGAGTAAGATAAGTTTTGGGGCTGTGGTAGTGAAAAGCGTGTGAATGACAATGTTCTTTTTTAGGGTTCCGTAACCAAAGGGTTATAACGGGACCCTATTACTAAGACTCCGCTGTCCGTCTATCGGTCCTTCTGTCTGTCCGTCTGTCCGTCACCAGGCTGTATCTCATGAACCGTGTTAGCTAGTTGAAATTTTATTTTATTTTAACAGTTGAAATATTCACACCCGTTCGGGTGTTATGTTGGTTTTTTTTATTATTATGCCGTTGGATGTTTTAATGTTGGCAATAAGTTAATTGTTTAAAAATCTATAATAGAGGTTTTAAAGCATGGGTGTAGATAAACTACACTCCCGGACACCTAAATCGAGCCACATTTTTTTGGTTTGGAGTACTGTAACTTATAAAAGATGTATGTAGAAGGAAAATGTTTTACTAACCATTGCGTCTAATCAATCATTAAACTGCGTTTTTTCACTGATATTTTATGGAGGACTAAAACTATATAGTATCTCCTAGCGGATGCCCGGCGACTTCGTCTGCGTGGTTTAATTGTTTTCTAATGCATAATTCGCCTCCCTTTTCACCACCTTAAAGGAAGATTGCTATGGAAAAGTATCTCTATACCTAGTTTCATCTTAATTGGTTCAGTGGTTTAATCGTGAAAAGATAACAGACAGACGCAGTTTCGCATTGTTAATATTAGTATGGATATGCCAAGCGAAGCGCGTCAATACTCAATAGACTGCATTGAAGTCGTCGATAATTCGGCTATATTAAAATAATTTGCGTTGTACAACGCAGCATTACTTTATGTAAATTGATGATATTAATAAACAGAATTCTTGAGAATAGCGCAGTTGATATTACCTAGCTGGTGTTTCAACTTGCATCTGGCCCGTTCTAGGTAGCATACATTTTGATATATTTTAGTAACTTTGACTTCGTGCTTTTGCGCCACACCGCAGACATAGTCCACAATATTTGAGCATTGAATTTCAGAACAGTGTTCCCCCTTTGTAATTAGTATATCTGTAAAATAGAATCAGTTTTTTATTAATTACCAACCCTGATTCAAGTAAATGGATGGATGGGAAGTAAGCGGCTATCATAGCTTACAGACACTCGCGATACCAGATGATCGCATTCTCAGACTGAGCGGTTCTGAGTATATATACACAGAAGAGTTGGCAGCTGGTTTACACTATATAGTTATATATCTTCCAGGCCATCATGGAAGATAAAATTTTGTTGGTGATAAATGTAATTCGGTTAATTAGGACAAAGTCAGAAGGTTTCTTGAAAATAATTCATTAAAATCAAAACGTTTGTACATACTTACATTGATAAGATAAAATGATTAATATTGCAGTGAACATTACTTAAATTTAGTTTAAATTAAAATACAAAATGTAATAAGTGTTTTAAAAAATCCTCTAACTTAATTTTCTAAAAGTATATTCTTTTATTTCAAACTGCACATTGCTCGGGTATAAGGCATGTAATAACAGTTTGTTGGAAAACCAAGAACATTTATGAGAAAAATTTAATTAACTTTGTCTCGAAGACTCGGTCACACTGGGTGCAGTTGTTTGTGTAGAATCGTATTGTGTAATATGCAGTTAAAAATATGATCTAATAGTTTTAGGAATATTTTTCAATAAAAAAGGCTACCCTTACTTTATATAACTTGTAAATGGAGGAGATATAACTCAGTTACAGACCATAATCTATCATGTTGAATTCGCATATTATTTGTAATATCTACTACGGGGATATTAATATATTAGGATCATACTCGATCGTGTGAAAGCCGGCGTAGAATAACGTCGACAGCAATTCAACAGTGCGTTGTGCTGTGCTCTCGCTTATTGCACAGAGCGCACCGCACAGTGCGAAGTATACTCCGCAACAAGTTCTTTTTTTTATGACGGAGAGATGATAAATGCATTATATTCACGTAAAATTACTAACGCCGCGGTGGTTTGCTGTTGACAAACCCCCGCGACGCAGGTAATTGCGTGGTACATCAGGCCAGCGAAAGCGGTCCGAGGATAACTCGTCGGTGTAGGTATACTTTGACGTACGCTCACGCAAGCGTGGCAGACGTCAAACCACCCTGCATATGACAAGCAGCCCGGTCCGCATCCGCTTAAATCGATCCTGGGCTTCTCCGTTAACAGCGTCACCTGACTAGTCACTGGGCCTTGGTCAAAGGGACTAGTACCGTAGCTCCCGTACCTACCAGGTAAACCAACTTCCCGATCTACCCCTCACCCACCAAACATAACTGCTTGTTCCAGATATGAGTCGCCGGTCGTCCTACATACCAGACACCCTTGCCGTGCCGCAGAAATGTACTGGCAAGAATAGTCACACTTCAGGGCCTAGCCGTAAGATAAAACTGACACAATGTGCTGCTTATGAGGAGCTCGATGACGCAAGTGGTTTGCGCTTTAGGACTACGATCGTGGAAGTTAAGCAAGCTTCGCAATGGCCGGTTATAGGATGGGTGACCAAATCTTTTCACTTTGTTAAATGCTGGGGCACAGTCCTTTCCCATAGATGGAATATGGAGATTGCGCCATGACCCACCACGCGGGCCTAGTGCGAATGGGTGGGTGTTAACGACTGCAGATTTAGCCGGATTCAACGGCTTAACGTGCCTTCCGAAGCACGTAGGAGCTCGAGTTAATAAGTTTTTGGTCACCTATCCAATGACCGACCATTGCGAAAGTAGCTTAAGGCCGAACGCACAATCTAGCTGTGCCATCGAGCTCCTCGGGTAGAATACGGGTAAGTATAATTTATGTTACATTTCGTATCTATTCCCTGTAATTCATTTTCATTATTATTGTGTTCGCATGGTACAGTTAATAAAAGTAGACTTTCATCAATTTTAACTTTTCTCGTCTCCATTATATGAAATGAACGGTTCATAATTTATGATCTCCTGAAATGAAATTGTCTTCGTCTGATTACCACAGAAATGTTTGACTAAGCTCCGAGGGCGGGTTAAACTCATTTAATCGCGTTCGCGTTTATGTAAACGGGTATTGAATTCATATTTTTTATAACACTGAAGAGATTTTTACTGGAAAGAAATCCATTCGATCCAGGCAGATATATAAAACATAAGATTTATAAATTAAATGCTGTAAATAAAAAATATAATACACTGACCGTTTTTTGCCTTGCTGAGTTTCTTGCCGGTTCTTCTCAGTACAAGGTCTCCCGTCGTAGTTTTGTGAACCGATGGCGTAATTTTTTTCACATGTGCTTGTAAAAGCCTAAATTGAATAAATGATTTTTGAATTTGAATTGAATTATTTCAATAATATAAACTTTTAAATACTAACACGTGACGTCACACGATGGCAGTAGCTTACTCAGTTACTTTGAATAGAAATTTTAGCATTTTTTTAAAATATTAGTATGACCCCTTTTCATACTGCGGTCGGATCATATGATTGTAAGTGTCACCGTTGCCCATGAACATTTGCAACACCAGTAGTGCTATTCTGTAAGAACAAACTCAATTTTCACCTCGGGATCCGCGGTGCGATTGAATGACTCTACCCCAGCTGATGTTAAGTGGTAATAAAGTCCAAACGCGAAGATAGCGGGTACAGCAGTTATAATCTGCTAAGCCAACCATCCTCACCTTGCCGGCCTGCCAAAATGCTTCTTCACGCCTCTCTTATAGGACCCCAGATTGTAGGAAGGAGGGACCACGTGCGCGGGCTTATAATTCCACTTACGAATAGTACACACACAAAGAATGAGTCACCAAATTTCATTGTTCGTGTAGGAATAGCGGCCACGTGGGCCAGCGTGCGTGGTCCTCTGAAGAAAAGGTGATGGAGGGATAGGGGAGAATAACTCCTCAGAACACTCGCCGTGGTATAGTCGGTGGAAATACTTTACCCTACCTCTCATAATATTTAACAAAGTCGATATTAGTTAATATATACATTGGTATCTTTATTTCCGACTTTCCAGTGCTCGGTGTAATAACATTGCACACGGCAGTGCCACGGCGAATATTTTTCCTTTCAAAATGGATTGAACTCGTGTGGCTGGAATTAATTAAACAAACATAACAAATAATGAATCAGCTACAAAACGGGGCAGCTCTTTGTATTTTTACTTTAAAATTAATTTTAAGTTCATTAATTTTAACCCTTATTTTAATGGGAAATATTAACTACGTTAAAACTGTTCTGCTGTTTTAACAGACGAAGGTAAAAAAATGGTTAATTACTTAGAACAAGAAAACAAAGCTTAAAGTGATGAATACTGATGAATTTTATTTTTTCTTTAATCAATGTCTGCGATATGAAGTATACAGCAGTGTGAAATAGGAATACGAAGTCGTGAGGAACTGAAACAAAAAAATATCATATTAGGTAGTATCAGCGAATTTTTCAAATGATCCTACATATTTATGCGAGAAACACATGTCGAGTAATCTAAATTCACAAAATTGTTTACGTATTACCTCGCCACTAGCGAAATTCAGGAAAAATCCACTTACTCAGAAAATCAGTAAGCGAATAGTTTCTCAGATAATTTAGATACTGTCTCAGTTAAATAATATAATATATCAATTCTGAGAAATCATACATGTCTCAACAAATTTTCTCTTGATAGTCTTTGTTACGAATACTTAGTTAGTCTTAGAAAATCCAGTTTTTTTTGGTTTGTGGTTTAAAATTTTTTTTTGGAGCTATAAATGCAGACTTTTGATCCCAGAGTTCCTCCGGTTGGATCATTATAGCGTATTTGTTTAAATCGTAGATACAAAATGTTTCCCTTTCTCTCCCGATCAAATAAGCCAAGTGACTCCAGCATTAATGATATCCTTTGCTCCTAGTATTTTATTAAAGAACCCACTAAAGTGTCTACTGTAACAACGGGCCTTCATGACCGTCTCGATTTCATTTTTTTAAAAGGCAACAAACTTCTTGTGCTACGTCCGCACTGTCCGTTTTCTGTTTTCACGACAAGTCGGGCCAAGCAATAGTCACATTTCAGAACACGGATAGAAGTATGACTATAGCTTGGTTAGATGCATCGTGGAAATTGTTCCTGATAGTGTAGCCGTAACGTAAGCTTGTTGAAGTAAATCACAACCACTAGCTGGTTAGAGGTACCTAAAATTTTACACATCATAAGATGATCACAAGACTAACTTAGGGAATATCTATCGACCTAGTTCTTTCTTGAAGTTTTTTTCATAAACTGCAATATAAATGCTTACCGAACCATACGTCATCATCGTGATGGCCTTAAACTTGAGTGCTGTAAAATGCAGAGGCTTTTGAGATCTGAAATAATTAAATAATACTTTTGTCAAAAGGCAATGCCCACTTTGTATGGGAATTTGGTTTAACATGGACAGACATTTTATAAGTAAAACTAAACAATGCAAGAAGGTTGAACTACCCAAAACCTTTGAATCATTATAATTTTGTATCAGTATACTTTAAAAGACATCTATTCTTTAAATATGCCGCGAAAAAATACTTTTGTACAATATGGCGTGCGACTTCACATGCATATAACCAAATCTCTAAACAAAAAACTTAGTATACTTTTGACAACTTGGGTGCCTTCCAAACCTACGTTTCAAGTTCAACTTTTCACTTTGACGTTTCAATTTTGACATAAATGTATGGAACTTCGATCGAACTTGACATTTGTTGCAGCTCCGTAGTTTTGAAACGCAGCCCATGTCTGCAAATGTCATCTTAGACCTGGCCAATCCTAGCCGTTTTCGCTGTCATGACATGACGTGATTTTAACTTAAATTCGGCCTATCACAGCCGTTTTTGATCAAGTGATATTACTTTACTAAAAATAGGAAGTGATCGCATTATTTTCATTTAATTTTATTGTATTTTTAATGAAGCTTTCTACTATATTACGGTTTTAGAAATTCGTTAAAAAATGTTAAATTGTTGTTTGCCAAGCACCGAGACTATTTTAGGCATTGTCCTTTTAATTTAAAGTATAAACAGCAGAAAAATTTTGGCATTCAAATCAAAATCGTTGATAACTGTGAACAAAAATGGTATTTTTGGAGTTTAGAGTTTGAATCAATTTGCATATATAAGGGGCCCGGTATGAGAAAAATGACCTCGTTATGTTTTTGGTGCGCATCCTATGTCGCGCAACTTTGACAAACAAAGATGACGGATTGACATTAATATTTTTTTTAAATCTGAACTTAATTTAGATATTGTTTCTGATAGAGCAATGGGGATAACGAGGTACAACTATTGATGCGGTATTTTCAAGATTCGTGAACCACGTATCTACGAACGTCCATGTGTCTTATTTTAGTTACCATAAACCACTTGTCACTGTAATTAATAATGCAGACAATGTTGATTTAATTAATATTTAAAAACATGATAATAGTCTGATAATAATAATTACATAAATTATCAACATTCCTAATGATATATTTATGCACATCTGAAATTGACTATTGTAAAAAGTTTAATGTAAAATATTTCGTCAATTAGTTATAACAAATGTATATGAAATGAATAAATATATATTTATACTAGCTGTCCCAGCGAACTTCGTACCGCCATAAAAAAATAGGGGTTGGTGGTAGAAAGGTGAAAATTCAGAGTTATATGTATTTATGATTTTTTTTTATTTTTTTTTTATGTTTATGTATTTACTAATGCTGTATCATAAAAAAAATATATCTAAAATAGAAAAAAAAAATAGGGGTGGATTACCCTTAACATTTAGGGGGATGAAAAATAGATGTTGTCCGATTCTCAGACCTACCTAATATGCACACAAAATTTCATGAGAATCGGGAAAGCCGTTTCGGAGGAGTTTAACCACAAACACCGCGACACGAGAATTTTATATATTAGATATGTATATTATTTTCATTAATTTGTTAATTTATTTACCCTTTCATACAGTATCAATCTTTTTTAAGTTAAATAAACTCTTTTTGCGTCTGGTTAGACTATCGAACTTAAGGAGTAAACTCCAGTCGTGCGTCGGAGCTGACACACACATTTTTTTTTATAGATAGATCCGACAAATGACTCCACCCCACCTGATGTTAAGTGAAGGTGAAATCCAGACGTGAAGATAGTTGATACAGCTACCTGCCACACCAGCCCTCCTCACACTGCCGGCCTGCATGTTGCTTCTTTACGCCTCTTTTAAAGGATCCCAGGTTGTAAGAGGGAGAGAACTCGTGAGCGGGCAGAGCATTCCATTTACGGATAGTGCGACAAAGAAATGAGTCACCAAATTTCTTTGTACGCGTTGGAATTGTGGCCACAGTTAGACGGTGACAACGTAGGCCAGCGCGCGTGGTCCTCTGAAGGAAAGGAGAAGGTGGGACAAGAGAGAATAATAATGGTAGATTTCTTTATGATAAAAGGGTGGCAAATATGCATTTGGAATATAATATACAACAACTAATATCATTACGGCCACGTTTCTTGTATGGGGATCCTCTTTGATTTCTTATTTTATCTAATGCTTATAATTTAATTTTGACGGAATTTCAACTGTCCATTTATAAAACGTTAAAAGCTAAGGCATGCAAATACAGGGGTCTAGGCTCCGAATTTGATTTTGTCCCATTCGGTGTCGAGACCCTTGGTCCGTGGGGTCAGGGGGGAAATAGCAAAAAGGGTTGCACGACATCACAGGAGACCGAAGAGCTGGCAGCTACTCGTACCTCGGACAAAGAATTAGTCTAGCTATTCAAAGGGGGAACGCTACCAGTATCTTTGGAACCTTGCCTAAAGGGACTCCTTTTATGTATTTTAGTAATTATATATTTTAAGGTTTTTAGTTATAAATATCTTACTATTTGTTCTTTAGTTAAACTATAAAGATATATTGATTTCTGATTTCTGAACGTTGTCGACACATCGCGACATACAAGTATAGTACTAACCGTACTATAAATAAATATAGTTCTGCCTTTCGTTTAATATTTCTGCAGAAACGTTAACAAAAAGAATGAAATTTAGTAATACAACAGTTTTAAAATTATTACTATAGTATAGGGTCCGTTGCCATCCTTTGAGTACGTGATCCAATACAGCTCAAGAAAATTATGGGAACTAGAATATTGCAACCTGGTTCACCCTCGTTCCATTGGTCTCTCTCTAATTAGCGAACTTACTGCTGCTGCGGGCATTCAAAGCGGCCTCAAAAGTGGGTTGCCTTTTTGAGCTAAATTTCAGCTAACATGCAAGCTGCCTTTGAGGTAATATTAAAAGAAAATATTTCTTTTCCTTAATAGTTGGAATAGAAGTTTAAAAAACATAAACGGGAAAATATCTACTCTACCCGTTTTATACGAATGTAACAAATTAAAATAGCGAACCGCTCGGCTTCGCACGGGTGTACTTGAGAGAAATTGAGAAGTTTTGAGATTTTAATACAAATACAAAAGTAATAAAACAAAAAAAAATCATTTTGATGAAGTATTTTAGGAGTTATGCCTGTGCTGTAGATACATTTATTTCATAGCAGATGGAAAAGTAATTTTTTGAAAAAATTTCACACTCAAGCTAGTGGACCACTTTTGATGATTTTCGTTAAAATTTTAAATTTTAATGTAAGTTAAATTTAAGTAAAGATTTCTGAAGTTTTTTGTTTTTATGTAGGTACTTAGTCGGTATTTATTTTTATTGAAAATAATTTTTCATCTATGTTTCCTTAATTTGAGTTAGTTGAACCCTTTTAACCTTTGCATGAACACCAACATAGCACGTCGACACCGCGCGTTGCATTCGTACCAACCACTCTGATACACTGCATCTGCTACGCCTGCGCTCTGGAGAAACATGAGATTAAATCATTAGGCATAGGCATAGCACCTTTGTAGTTACAATTCCGTATCAAACTTGTTTATGCTTGTATCTAAAAGAGAGGTAGGCCATAGCGGATTTCCCGCTAGAATTGAAACTCCGTTTGGGAAAGTAACGTCCATTTTAAAGAAGACCATAGTAAATAACATTATCTTTTGCTAGTGTTGTGTTTCTATCGGTTAGTAAGATTCCAGGGCTCCACGGGGTAAGGAATTGGGTCGGGGTAAGTAACGGCTCGAGTGATATTTTATTGTATCGCAAGTCCCTAACTATAGGCTAAGGTGACCACTTACCATGCGGGCCATATAGATAGATAGATAATACTATTGTGTACACCACATTAAATATTACACACTAAGAAAAAACAAATAGTAAAATAGTGAACAATTGGCGGTCTTATCGCCAGTCAACCATATATGGAGAGACGAAATATATACATATACATACATGGTTGCTACCGTTTTAACATAAATAAAAACGTTGCTGGAACGTATTGGAAGTCTTTAAAGGCTTTAAAAGCTCTATATTCAGCAGTAGAAGTCCATTAGTTGATAATAATGATAACGTTATTAAATGGACCCTTTTTAAGGCTACGCAACCATCTGCTACTACGGATAGTTCCTTCTCGGAAACTAAATATGACGACAGACTTACTATTTACTGGTTAAGTATGAAGCAGGTTTTTCTACATTCCATTTCGTTTTATTACAGCATGAGGAAATTTTATATTGCAAGATAACATTTTAGAAGATTTTTCCAAGAGTACATAAATTTTAGTTGGAATTGTCATAAAACTCTCAGAACCCGTGCGGGTTTCAGTGAAAAAGGCACCGGTTGCACCATATATAATCCTCGGAATGGATTCAAGAACATTATTGAGCATCGGCAGCCAAACAAAATGTGTGTGAATGGGTGCAATATTGTACTTTATGATTCAATAAACTGTTATTTGTATCAGGTAAGCTTTATATATTTTGAATTAATAAATGTACTTTAGGAAATCTGAAATAAGCTGTGAAGGATAAGGACTGTATTTTTAATTATTATTAGAGAAAGGAAAACAGTGGTGGCAGTGACAAGGTAAAACAAACTATTTAAAGTCAAAGAATAACAATCTCAATAAAAAAAGTATCAAAAACTCATAGACAAAATATATTGATATAACGCGGAATAAGCTTTGACTAGTTACACAGTATTTTGTTCCTATCACCCAAATGCCATTTGTACAGTCAGTGACAGGAGAGCGTATGGTCTATAACTTCACAATGAAGCATCTAGGCAAGGCAAGGGTGATATTTTCGTATTCAATGATGAAGATATTAAAGTGCATAGGGATCAAATGCATTTTCAAAAATTTCGACCTGTTATGTATGTGCCACCTTGAAGGTGCTATGAATATGGGTCGAAGTAACAGGTAACATGACTTGCTAAGGCTGCAGCATCAGCATCTAAGTTGGGGCCGAATTATCAGAAACCTACAGCTCACGTTCTCACAGAACGACACTTAGAATGCCTAGGACAAACATACTACTTGTAAAATTATCTGCTTATCGTAGACATGCAGCGTTCACCTGCATCTCGTAGGCCATGCACCGCTTGCAACTTTGCACAATGTAAGCATGACGATGGACTGCAGCGCAGCATTCATAGCGGGCACTCACAAGACCCACTAATGCTAGAATTGAAGTTAGCTTTTCAACCTATAACTGCAGCTAGCAACCGCTGACGTAGTACAAGAATATTTTATTATTGAATTGTTTATTTTAGGAGCAATTACATCGGCGTACCCGCCGATAACCCGCGGGTTAGGTTGCAGGAATTCCAAATTGCTTGGTTATCCCCATGCAATTACCCTGTTTACAATCTACTGGCTCAGTATTCGCTCTGTGCACACGTATACACTCTCGTCAAAGTGAGAATGTGTGGTCGTGTATATGCATACTGGTGGCAACGGCAATAGCGAGGAAATATGTATGTACACGACCACATATTCTCACTTTGGTGAGACTGTATGACTGTGTGAGTGTGCACAGAGCGAACATATTCTTTTGCGCATAGTCGATAGCTACACAGTGAAAGGCGGAACGTTCACGAAGGAACATTACTTAAGAGGAGAAGCCCCGTGACATCTAGAACTCAACATGACGTCCCAAGTAGACCAAGACAAAACACTTACTTTTCCGGTGGACACCTTCACGATCCGCGGGCCTGCTATACCAAGTGAGGCCCCTTTCAGCCCTGCCGAATTTATGCGTTTTCACACTGCATATCATAAGTTTGTTCGGTCGATGCGAAACTTGGACTTGACTTTTCTTAATGGGAAAGCATGCACCGTCCGCTACAACTTTGATGCAACGAGACCGGAAGAGGATCGCCTGCTGATAAATTGGGACTGGCTCCACCCCGTATTTTGGAGGGAGCCGCCAGGTGAAAGAGATATTGTGCGGCTGCCTACGATACTTAGGTTTGTTCAGGAAGAGCTTCGTTTTCCGAAGTGCAAAACGGTTGCCAGCGACACCTGCTTCTGCGACAACAATCCACATGAAGTGGTATCTCCTGGCAGCGAGTGCACGAACGAACTCCATTGGCATCATTTCTGCACCGCGCACGTCTCTGCGTGGTTAACCAATTATTTGGTGCCGGCGATTCTTCTTAAAGAATCTAAAGAGATGTTCCATGCGATGATTGCAAAAGTGCATCGAGACAATCCAGCCATCTTGGAATATTATTCCACGGGTGAACGTACGGACACACAATTGTTGCTTGACTCGGCTCGCAGCATAAGTGGTTCCGGCTCTAGTGCAGCTGCATCTCAATAGTGTTAAGAGTGTTGAATAGTTTTTATAAGTCTAAAGTACTGCAGATTGAAATAAATGGCTGTGTTTAATATGTCTACTTTTATTTGTTTTATTCCCATTAGTAGTGTAGAATGATGGAGAGTTGTGCAGGTAAGGTATTGAGACCGCTCCGTCTTACGTTGCTCCAAGTTCAAATTTAGTTTCCCTCATGACAACTCTGTGTTAGATACAATATCAAGTCAAGCTTGGACGGCACTAGAGGTAACGGCTAGGTAACGTGCTACTAGGAGCCGCATAGCACGTCACACCACTATCACTTACAGTTGAGTTGCAAGGCGTGATGATAAGAGTTACGTGCACATGGGATGCAAAGCTCCGCTATCACAAACAATGCTTATCATATGTCTTGAGCAAGGCCTGAACGTGCCTTCGCTTACTGAGTACGTGTTCCTGCGACGTTTAGCCGCGGAGCAGACCATACAGGAATGTGAGACGTCTAAATAACGTTTTTCTTAAGTTGGTTCATGAGTAGTATCTACGCATAAGCCGCAAACAGTATTACGGTAAAGAGCCGCGACAATAAACGTTCCTATACACGTAACTATACACGTAGACATAGATTTCCCGATAATACGTTGCCAGACGTGGCACACTTTAGTTTAAATATAGAACAAACCATATGCAATTGCTTAGAATATGAATAGGTAATATGTTACGAGTACGGGATCGTTATCAAACCATTGTTATTGGTTACCTTGGGACAGGTAGTCGGGCTCTGCGTCTTACGATAACCTAGGGTCAGTTGGCACGAGCTACAAAATCTTGAGGAAAACCCAACGCTATATTTGATGTTATGATAAGTATTCATCTCTAATATAATAGATCTTCAGGCACAAATCACTTTCGGTTACTGAACGTTACGAACGTGCCTACGTCTTTGCTGTCTTTATTGAGCTAAGAAAAGATAAACGTAAAACAATGTCCGCACCGGCAGAAGCAAGCTGTTTCACACAATTGTTGACAGAGTTAAAAGTGAAGACTTTCGAAGCCACATTCTACAATGGAAAACGGTTGAGCATCGAGTACCTTTTCCATTACGAAATTATGGGAGAAAAATGTCTGCAAGTAGGCCTCAACAGCATGGTACCACTGTTCGGAGGTATCACACCTCCCGGTATACCCCAATTCACCTATATCTCGGAGCTCTCCAATTTCCTCCGGCTCATAAACATGGATGACTGTTCATATGGTGACTACACTTCTTGCGCGTGTCGGCTCAACATCGAACGAGGCCAAGAGCATTCCGATTACCGTTGTCAAGATAATCACTGGCATCACTACTGCTCGTGACACGTCCATCAGTGGCTGAAGTTCTACCTGGAACGTGCGATTCTGTTGAAAGAATCTCAGAAGCACTACGAGTACCGCGTGAGCGAAGTGCACGGGCCACAAACAGGCTTTTATCTTTCAATCGGCGAGATGGCAACTGCAGAATATTGGCTAAAGTGGGCTTGGACAAGTACTATGCGGCGGCGTGTATGATAAAATGTGTTTAATACATTCATACACCTTACTTATATTCAAGATTTGTCATTTCGTATTACTCTAAATATGTGTCTTTTTTATTTTTCCTGTAATGTTAGGGTTATAGTATCACAGATACCTTACCTAGAAACTATGTAACGTGCACCGTACCTATCTATCGCTGCATAGCATGTCACTGTGCACCTACAATTCTCTTACAAAGTTTAGTGACTAGTCTTGACATTTATGAGGAGGTACACGCAAGCTTGGCATTCGTTGCTGAGCTGACATGCACTTTGAAATGAAATAATCATGTATGAGGAACGAGTTTTTTTTTATTTTTAAGAATAAATACTATTATAAATTATCACATATACGAGTAGGTTGTATTACTTCGGCCTGTTGGCTGTCCCGCGCAACGATGCCTGATGTCGTAAAGCTTCTGCATACCGCAAGAGGTGCTCCTCAAGTTTCTGCTGCTCTTCTCGCTGACGTTTCCTTTCTTCACGCTCCTTCTCTTGTCTTTTCCACTCTGCCTCTTGCTCCTTCCAACGTTCATCGGCGGCTCGACGAGCGGCTTCTCCAGATTTTCCATTATTATTGTTTCCCCACATCGTGATTATATGTTGAGGGTAAATATGCTGATTGAATGTAGAGCTCCTGGCGATTGTGTCGAGGATATATATGCTAATGATTGGTTGTATAGGTCTTTACCGCAATTTATACTAATTCGAAACGTACCTAATAAGGAATACTGGTTGGAATTCCATAACTATATCGGGAATTTCTATGTGGTTTAATTATATCTCGCTATAATGAGGATAATTAAAACGCACTGACCGCATGGTGTACCGCAGTAATAATAGAAATTTTATAAAATGCAGGGAAGGAAAAATTAATTATAACTGAAAGGGGACAAATGATAGCGATAATAAATACAGTTTTATATTTTATTAAGCAAGTGATATCATAGACTGTGTTAACTTTCCCGTTAGGTTGCGCAATCATGCTCCGTATGGATAAAAATATATAGGTAATATTCAGGAGCTGCCCGTGACATGCTGAGCATGTATGGAGTCTTGCTACGTGACCTGCAGTCTTACTTGACCGTGTGATGTTCTCTGGAGGTTTGGTTACGCCAAGCTATTCCACTAGAGCGTTGCAGCGTTCACTCATGTCCTCAGAAAAGTTTACGAAGCAAACTCGAGAGACTTGAGTTCATATTGAAACATCCATCCACACCATCGTTAGGTAATGAACACTTGAATACGTCCATAGGTGTAACTGTGGTTTACCGTAGGTATGACGTCAAACCTTATCGGACAATGGTATATTGTTTCATTTTCCCGAACTATAATTAATTTAATAAATTCAACTGACCGGATAATATCGATTAATTAACCCCGATAACCTATTCAATTGAAGCAAGAGAAACTGAATTCAATATCGTTTAACTTTAGCGATAACGGCGTTATCGCCGTCACAGTTGGTTTCTCTAATGTTGTAGCAATATGCTGATATGGATATTGCTCCCTACGAACCAAGGTGTAACTTACAGGTTAACAGTGAAGAGTTTTTACGCCTGCATTTGCGGGGACCTCAGGTTAGGAGCTTGAATCGAAGACTCACTGTCACATAGCAAAACCTAGAACTCCTCCAACAGTCATACTTCTCCCGAGTCTACTATGCATTAAAGTCGTTTCTCCACTGCATACAATAGTATCACCCTCCCCTTCCCTTCGTACACCGTTTTTGATTTTCGCCCCGTACGCTCTTGTGCCCCCTACTGTAATTCAACGAACAGAGACAAAACATGAAGTAACAAATCCAAGCTTATTGTTCGTTTATTTATAAGGGGGCAAGAGCGTAATATATGCTATGATAAAACTACTTCCTGTCTAATTATTGTGTCATTCTTATCGAAAATAAAACTATTTCACACGAATGGAATTCCATCTCCCATGGGTGTCGGGATATTCATTTTCCTTTTTCCTGTAGTTCCATTCCGGTTGTTTGCTAATAAATGTCAGTCAATCTTCCCTTTTACTTCAATAGACAACCGATCAAGGTGTCTCGAATCTCTATCCACTCAAACGGAGCGAACGGGGCTATTACTTATATGTTGCCAAGTGCGAAAATTAATTTGACTTGAACCATGAGGCGGTTACGCACCCCGTAGTTGAACCATAACGCACGATAAATCGACGGCTATATTTCAGCTGTTTTTTTACATACTAACCTATGCTCAGCAGTGGGCGTCGTACGGCTGATATGATGATTACATACTTTTAAAACAAACTCAATAGTGCGAAAAAAATGACGATCCTGAATGAGGAGTTCAAATATTGTTTATTATATGTTTTTTTTAATTACATGAGTGATATTACGCGTGTCTCTCATCTCAAAAGTTAATTAAGTTAAACTGAAGTCATGAACATAATCATAATCATAATCATAATAATCATAATCAAAATCATTTATTCAGTTTAGGCTGTTACAAGCACATATGAATGTCTAGAAGCTACGCCATCGGTTCGTAAATCTACGGCGGGAGACCTTGTACTGAGAAGAACCGGCAAGAAACTCAGCAAGGGCTGTTTTTTTTCTCCCTGTTTTATTATTTACAGAGTCGTCAAATTGAAAAATGACTTCAGAGGTGATTCATGAAGTCACTTTTCATTACATAATTATTAAATATACATTAATTGTTTACCTGCATTTTGATTGCTGTGTCATACAGTATAAATACAAATAGTGTTATTTATATTCAGTGTGACTCAACATTAACTTCAATATTAAGGAAGTTAGGGCAGACTCATCTCCGCTGGCAGCACCCGTTCACGAGCATGACGCATGAACCAGCCATCGCTTCGCTCAACCATATTTTAGGGAACGTAACGACCCGCCTCACACGACACCGCCGAAGAGACTATTATGAGAGCATGACTACCCATAACTACCCATACTAACTACAACATATTTACTTAAATTAAGGTCATTTACCTGTAAGACACAACAAACAATTACAAAACAAAGCAAAGGAGAAATCACGACCACGCCGTTTTGTCAATCAAATATTCTTAAACAGTCTGATAATCTTACTTAAGTTATTAACTTTATATACAGCTTTCAGTTTAATTATAGTATTGTCAACACATAATTCATAATTTAAATCATATAGAAATAGAGGAGAGGGCGCTACTGGCGCAGCATAAACAAAAGCTCTGTAATACTTTTTTCCTAAATATTTACATTTTTTGGTTTTTTTGCAAAATTATTGATTAAATTGTTAAATAAAAGTTTAAATTGTACGTGTAAACGTTTGCAAAGTGATTACGTACTTGTATATCGAAAAAGTCTATTCAGTGATAACAAAATCGGAAGGTGGATTTAAATCAATTTCGAAAACTGTGAAATGCAAAAACTTTAATAAGAAGTAAGTAAAAACCTTTATTTAGGCATATGTATTGCTGGAAAATTGTTATTGCAGTTTTAAAGGTTCAAATATCAGGAATACCGCTTCAATATTTTTTGAATAAAGAATATTATAATATCACTAGCGCCATCTATTGAAAGATTGTGGAATCAGTTGACACATAAGTTATATTGAAAGCACTATCCAAGGTGAAAGCAGAACTCTGCATACTAATTAACTTCTGAGCTGTGGTTAACTCGGCAGAGGTCGCTGTTAAGAAAAAGTTGGGTCTGTTATCATTTCGTTAGCAACAAAATGCCTTTAATTTGCTCAGGCTGTAAGAAGCCCGTACCCAAAAGAGAATTTCTGACTTGTAAATTTTGCAGCAGTATATATGATATAGAATGCGCTGAAGTCTCAAGTCAGCGATATTATAACACAATGACGGCCGAACACAAGAACAAGTGGAAATGTCCATTATGTCAAGCAAATGAACCAAAACGAGATAACACAGAGACTCCAGTACGAGCAAGAGAACGCGACCAACAGAAGTGCGACTTATTAGATACTCAAAATGTTACTTTAAGGAAAACTAAATCAGCTTCATTGAACGAGAGTACAAGCTCTAACGAAATAAGCATCCTTGGAGACACTGCCTATACTGCAAAGCCTTCACAGTCGAATTCAGAAGTAACGTTGGAGAACTTAAGTCAAATAATATTAGAAAGACTTAAAGAAAATAATATAAACATAATATGTGAAATAAAAAATACCATACAGAAAGAAAGAAATACAGCGATAATGAAACTTAAAAACGAAATTTATCAAGAGACTAGCAGCATAAAGAAAGTTAATGAATCTATTAAAACCAATATAGAAAGGATAAATGCAGATATAGGATACTTGACTATAGAGAATACTAACTTAAAAAAAGAAATAGAGGAATTACAGAAAAACTTTACTTTTATAAAAACTGATAAAAACCCCATTCAAAATAATAACAAAAAAATAGTGCTCTATGGACTGGCAGAACACTACAAAGAGCCAGAATATAACCTGCACAACAGAATCGTGCAAGCTTTTCAGGAGATCTTGCAAATTGATATAACAGGATATATTGAAGAGACACGATGGGTCGGACGAAATATCTCAAAAAATCGTCCACTCGAAATTGAACTTCTTAGTAAACGAATGGCTAAGTACATAGTGAGAAACAATCATCAATTCCGTAATACTGGACTACAAGTATCAGAATACTTAGATAAAACTGCATTGGCGGAGCGTAAAAAAATGCGACAGGAAATGTTCGAAGCCCGGAAAAGGGGACTATATGCGATAATTAAAAATGATCAGCTATACATAGAAGGTAGAAAAGTTAATAAAACAATTGACAAAAATGCTAATCAAGTTCCTAACTTGCATAATACAACGATAGAGAGAGTAACTTCGAATGAGACCCAGCAACAACAATCTACACAAACTAATTATCTAACAAATAATTCCTTTCGGAAACAATGAAACACATTTTAAAATATTATTTCAAAATTTCCAAAGCATATACAATAAACAACATCTTTTACAAGCATTTCTTGATCAAAATCCTTCTTACCAAGCTATATGTGTATCAGAGTCCTGGTTAACTAAAGAAAAGATAGATATGATTCAGATTTGTGGCTACAGAATGGCTGCATCGTACTGCCGGCGAAGTCATATGGGGGGCGGAGTCTGTCTCCTGCTTCAAGAGGACATCCACTACGTAGAGCGACGAGACATAGAGAAGCTTTCTATCGATTATGTACTAGAAGTGTGTGCAACAGAACTTCCAAAACAAAATATTTTGCTTATAGTTATGTACTGGAATAGGAGAGAGGAGGACTCATTCAAATATCAATTAAACGTAATTTTGAATTACATAAATAATAAATATTCAAAATATAATATTATTATTGGGGGTGATTTTAATATTAATATACTTCAAAAAAATAACAATAAAACAAGCGAATTTCTAAATTTAATGTTGGAGTATAAGTTTAGACAACACATAAAGGAACCCACTCACATTACACAATCTACATCAACATGCCTAGACCTTATCTTTACAAATTTTATTGATAAACACCTGTGGGCTACGGTAGAAGAACTTGGCTTTTCAGACCATGCTGGAACTCTCTTACATTTAAAATTGCCTAAATTCACAAAATCTTCAACTTGGTATGCAGAAAAAAGATTTTTCAATAAAAATAATATAGAGCAATTTAAAAACCAACTTATACAGATGGATTGGAACAATATTATTCATCCACACAAAAACATAAATGAAAATTATAATTGTTTTCATAATATATTAGTAAATACTTTAAACAACTGTATTCCTAAACGTCAAATCCGATTGAGTAAAAATCATAAAAAGTACTGGTTAACTGTAGGAATAAAAGAGTCGTGTAGAAACAAAAGATTGCTGAAAATATTATCTTCTACCTCTAATAATGTCATTATTAAAAAATATTATAAACATTACGAAAAAATATTAAAAAAGACTGTAGCGACTGCAAAAAGGTTGGAATACGTAAAACGATTGAAGAAATCAAATAATAAATTAAAAACCATGTGGCATATTATTAATGAAAGAACGAATAAAAAAATAAACAAACAAAAGCAAAACGTAAAGATAAATATAAATAATAATATGTACTCGCATCCTGTACAAGTTGCAAATATATTTAATACCTTTTTTGCATCTATTGGCGAATTGCAAAGAAACGGTCGGATAGAGCAACATAGCCCGCCAGTATCAAATCATCTTGAAAATAGTTTATTTCTTAGACCAGTAGACTACCGTGAAGTACACAAAATTATAACCAAATTGAAAAATAAAACAAGCTGCGGTATAGATGAGCTACCTCCAACTTTGTTTAAGGCTTGTGTTGATGAGTTAGCAACACCCTTTTCTATGCTAATTAATCAATCATTTTTGGAAGGAGAGTTTCCCAAGCTACTTAAACAAACAGTCATAAAACCTGTGCATAAAAAGAAAGATGTAACTGATCCAAACAATTATAGACCAATAGCCTTGTTACCAACAGCCTCAAAAATCTTTGAAAAGGCGATGTGTGATCGCGTCTATAATTTCTGTGAAAAGTTTAATATATTCAACGAATGTCAAAATGGGTTTAGAAAAAATAGGTCCACTACATTAGCCGTTTATAAATATACTGAGGAAATATTAAAAATTCTAGATAATCGCGAATATGCGGTTGGTGTCCTGTTGGATATGACGAAAGCTTATGACAAAGTACAGCATAATGTATTATTACGTCAACTTTATAGCATAGGTATACGAGGTACAGCGCATAAGTGGTTCACGTCGTATCTAAAGGACAGAGAGCAATATGTTGATATAGAATACTACAATCAAAATACCCAAACAATACAAAACATCCGGTCAAATTGTACAATAGTGAATTCGTCTATACCACAAGGAAGCGTAATAGGATGTTTGTTATTTCTAATATATATCAACGATCTTCCAAAAAACATCCAAGTTCCAACTATTTTATTTGCAGATGATGTATCTTTAATTACGTCATGCCATAATACTATCGATTTGCAAGAAAAAATAACTAATTTATTCGATAAAATATCTAACTGGATGAACGAACACCATTTGGAGATTAATTATTCAAAAACAAAACTCATGATATTCCATTCACCCCAAAAAAATACATTACCAGTAAATTTTATATATAATAACAAATGCATCGAGTTAGTAACGCAATTTAAGCTGCTAGGCGTGATCATTGACAGGCACCTGAACTGGAAAGCTCACATAGCGGCTACAAAATCTAAATTATCAAGTTTTGCTTACGCTCTTCGAGAGACTAAAAAAACAACGAACTTAGAAACGGCCAAAACTGCATATTATGCCTATGCTCACGCGTGGCTTAGCTATGGGGTAATCTTGTGGGGGAGCAGTGTTGATAGTACCACCTTATTTACAGCTCAAAAGAAACTCATTCGTATACTTGCGAACATAGAGCAAACAGACAGTTGTAAACCCTATTTCAAAAAATTCGAGATTCTTACTTTGCCCTGTATATACATATTAGAGATTTGTAAATTCACTCGTAAATATCCATTTTTTTTTAAAAAGCGAAATGATACATCATCACGGTACACATCACGACATGGACATAAACTGCTTATACCAACTACAAGGCTGAAAATGAACACATCTGGTCCACTTCAAATGGCTGTCAAAATTCATAATAAATTACCTAAAACGTTAGTTGAGGAAAAGGTTGATAATATATTCATTGAAAATATTAAAAAGCTACTATTAAGCAAATGTTATTACACGGTTAAGGAATTTTTAGAAGATAATAATTTAAAGTAACTACAATTTAATTTAATTTTTTACTATACCTGACATTTTATTAATTTAATTTAATTTGTATATAATAAAATTGAATATAAATATAACATAATATACCATAGAATATGACATAGATAATAATTCAAATAATATAATATAATATTAAGCTAAAATGAATAAATAATGTTGATATTATTATATTTTTATTTGTTGGGTAAAAAATTATCGTATTTGGCTGGTAAATTGTATACGTACTAACTACTCGTAAATTACAATTAGTGAGTGCGTCCTCTTCTCTATTTGCTGTGCCCTGTTCAGGGTCTACAATGATCAAAGCAATGTACCTACTAAGATCTAAGAAAACATAGTAGAACGCAATAAAGTATTGATTGATTGATTGAATACCCGTTGGAATGGTTGGAACAGTTCATACCCAAGCATTTTTGTCTGTAATATAATCAGACACTTTATAATATGCTTTCTTAACTAGTGATTTTTTAATGGTCGATTTAAATTTAGTCATGCTTAACTCTTGAATATTGCTTGGAACTTTATTGTAAAAGCGAACACTAAGACCTCTAAACGAATTATTGATTTTGTGGAGCCTAGTAGCAGGTAAAGTTAAGTTATTTTTATTTCTAGTATTATATGTATGTATTTCACTATTTTTAGTAAACAAATAAATATTTTTTTTTACAAATACTAAGTTGTCATATATGTATTGTGATGCAACTGTCAATATACCTATTTCTTTAAACTTATCTCTTAATGAATCCTTAACTTTAAGATTATAAATTGATCGAATAGCCCTCTTCTGCAGCACAAATATAGTTTGAATATCGGCGGCATTTCCCCACAGTAAAATACCGTAAGACATTACACTATGAAAATAACTAAAGTAGACTAATCTGGCAGTTTCTATATCTGTTAACTGCCGTATTTTCATTACAGCATATGCTGCAGAACTAAGTCTCTTCGACAATCCATCAATATGTGGGCCCCACTGCAGCTTAGAATCTAGTGTGATTCCTAAGAACACTGTGGTATCTACAGAGCTCATATGTCGATCCTTTATATTTACATTAGTTTTTACCTGTTTCACATTAGGTAATACAAATTTCAAACACTTAGTTTTCCCCTCATTTAGCATCAAATTATTAACATTGAACCAGTGGACTACCTTCGAAATAGACCTGTTCACGTCATCAATTTGTGACTCCCTACGTTTATTTTTAAACAAAAGTGAAGTGTCATCCGCAAACAATACTATTTCGTGGTTATCCTTTACAAAATAGGGCAAGTCATTGATATAAATTAAAAATAAGAAAGGACCAAGGATTGAGCCTTGCGGAACTCCCATCTTAACCGACAAACCAGGAGATTTTACTCCATTGATGTCAACCCTCTGAACCCTATCACTCAAATAAGATACAATAAGATCCAGAGTGGTATCTCTAAGTCCATAGTGGTGAAGTTTCCTGATCAATGTTTCATGAAAAACGCAATCAAAAGCCTTTGATAAGTCACAAAATACACCTAAGGCATCTTGCGAGTTCTCCCAGGCATCAAAAATTTGCTGTACAAGCTCAATACCGGCATCGGTTGTTGAGCGACCCCTTGTGACACTATCTGTCAGACTAGCTATTTTCCCATCCGTGCATTATACAAGTGTAACATCCGTTGTAGACGTAGTACTCTACAAAGAACTAATAAATTAAGGCCGTAATGTGTGAAAAGTCCCACCTTAACAGTCGTCTACAAATGCCAAAAGTTGAGTTAATCTAATGAAAGTAATTAAGACTATTTTTGGAAACAACTGAGAGATTATGTGACTTACTTACCGCTCTAGCAATGTCATCAGCGTACCAGCAAATCATGCCCATTTGCGCGAGTGCTATTATAACGAACATTTTGTCGTTCATTTCTTGCCACGGGTTTAAGAACTGAAAATTGAGAACACTTTCGTTATCTATACCAATATTTATAATTTAACGCACTCATCTCAGGAACTAATGATCCGATTTGAAAAAATATTTTTGTGTTAGAGTCCAAAATGTTGCAAAAACGATATAAAATATTCCATTTCAGAGCTACCGATACGTGCGCTGCATAAACGGTAAAAAATACTCAAAAATCAACTATAACGGAGTCGTTTTTATTTTTTATTTTTAAGCATTTGACTGCTGGATGTTTAAATCTAAAGAAAAGTTTTTACTAGGAAAAAATCCACGCGGACCAGGCAGCGGACGGGACTCGAACCAGCACCCTTCGCAATCCGGGCGAATGCACTGACCTAGCCTTAAGCTGCAAGGCAGCGCCATCTCTTCGCATTGTACATAGGTAACCCACAATGTCAAATGAATGCTTTTTCAAGTATTAAACATTTGAAAGGAGAAATAGCAATTATAGTTATGTTTTATTTTTCGAGTTCGAGTCCCGTCCGCTGCCTGGTCCGCGTGGTTTTTTTCCTAGTATAACGGAGTCGTTTTCCTTTAAAAAAAATTATAAATAAGTCCGCGACAGCATATGTTCATCTTTTAAGTTTGACTCACTATAACCATTTCCACAAATTCTTCCGCAGGGGACTTCTAGCCTTCATATAAGTTACTTTGCTTTTATTTATTTTTGAGTACCGTAGAAAGCATGTCAAAGCAGCGGACGTCGCCGTCGCGTCGCAGTGCTTCCGAGATAGAATTTCCGGTTGGCACTATCTAGGAAATTAACTTCATATATTATTTATGGTCTGGATAGTTCTTAGTAACAGCTTTATTTCTGATTCTCTGCTCAGTGGAAATGGGAATGAGAGTAACTGTAATTTATTTATCATCATCATCATCATCATCAGCCTATTAATGTCCCCACTGCTGGGGCACAGGCCTTCCCTATGGATGGAATAGGGAGATTGGGCCATGACCCACCACGCGGGCCCAGTGCGGATTGGTGGGTGCTAACGACTGCAAATGCAGCCGGGACCAACGGCTTAACGTGCCTTCCGAAGCACGGAGGAGCTCGAGATAGTAAATTTTTGGTCACCCATCCAATGACCGACCACTGCGAAAGTTGCTTAACTTCGACGATCGCAGCCGAACGCGCTAGCCACCTGCGCCATCGAGCTCCTCATTTATTTATGCAAATACTTTAATCAAATATTAAGAATCTAATTTGTTTATCAAGTGAATGTATATTATACTCGGAATAATTCATCATATTCGAAAATTAAACATGCTTCAGAATGCTGTTTCACAGTTTTGTGTTAAGAAAAATTCAAGATGTATCTGTGTATATCTATATACCATAATCATGTAATTACTAGAGTTGCTACGCAATATCGTATATGTTATGTTTAACATTTATAATTAAATCCATGTTACTTACTGAAAAAAAGAAATACAAAAGTCGGTAAGTAAGATCCTTTAAGGATGGCCTCTTCTTTTTGTGCTTTGGTTTAACTTGTATTTCCAGCACGCTAGTTTTCCGTTGGCTAACGACATGTGTTCGAGGTTAAATAAAATAGAACAAAGGGGTAGAAATGCACTAACCGGGCTCCCCACAAACTGTTACCGATGTAGTTCAGTTGCAAAACAAAAGAGAGCTAACAACGGTTGAACACTTCTTCTCGATTTAGTACGAAAACAGATTTTTTGTTTCCGTTATTTGGTTGTTCATACTGTGTAGCTACTTCATATTCTAGAAAACCACTACAGTAATCATTTTATTGTTTATTAGAGAAAGAGAGATATTATATATGTAATTAGTGAGATGATCGGAAGAACGATTGATAGAAAAAAAGCTTTTAAGTTACATACACATCACAGATCATAATATCGAGTATTATATACTTTGATGAATAATGTCAGAAGCCCCTTCCAACTTAATTTGGAAAGAAAACGCGAACGTGACAAAGTTCCACAAACGTATTTCGAAACAGAAAAACTATGTTTGGTGTTTCAGATCTTAACTTTGTATGACAATTGGCAATGAAGAAAAATTAGCTTCTTGCTACTGCAATAAACCACAAGAATGAATAATTTGAATAATTTAAGCACTCACAACAACATTGAACAAACCGCAGCACAAATTGACAGAGCTCAAAAGAAGATTGATGAGGTTGACCGCGGAAAAGGCATCTTCTAAATCAATTCCATAACTGTAAAGAAAATGTATGTTAATATTCTTAGGTTTTTCTTCTGCTGGCTTGACAAGTAAAAAGTTATATTTTTACATCTATTAAAACAAATTAAAAGCACAATAAACAAATGTATATCTTACTAGCGGCCGCCCATAACTTCGTTCGCGTTAACATTACTTAAAAGGCATAAGAATCCTACAGGTACCTAACATTTTTACGGGATCAAAAAGTATCCTATGTCTCAATTCTGGTCATAAACATGCGTCCCAAAGGAGACCTTCAAATACTGCCCAATTTTGTAACTTGGTACAAATTATCTCAAAAAATATCTAAAATTATACTTAAATAGACTCATCAAAATCTCAATAAATTGAATGACATTTGGTGAAAATCTGATTTTCAGCAAAGTTGTATGACGAAAAGAATTTATCCTTTTATCCAAATCCGTTCAGAATTTATAATATAATTAGGATGTAATATGGTTAAATAAATAAATTTTTGAAAGGATCTTATTTTATTTATTGCACGGTGTACCATGAACCCCTTCAAAAAGTGTTTAATTAAATCATTATAAGCGCTAAAATAAAATACCAATTTACAAGATCATTCAGAAATGAAATCGGGAGTCGTAAAATATTAATAAAATTCTCAATTTGGTATATTCTTTGCAAGCTTTCAGTGCCATTTAATAACATTAATTTCCTATTAACGTACTTGAAAGTAATAAAAAGCGTAGGCACCTTTGTTTGAATTAATCAATTTATCTCTAAAGAAGATCTGGAAATCCGGGATTGTCCCGGAATTTTTTGGGCTTGTACCGTGTCCAGTAATTAGACCTTATTGTCCCGAAATTCCCAAACACCAGTTTTTTTCACAATAATACTATACTCACACCTAGTTGCGAGGGGCGAATGCATTACTGACCTATATATTGATGTTATGTTTTTTCTGGGGTGGGGGGATGTCCCGGAATTGATAAGCCAGCATCTGGGAGCCCTAACAGAGACACCTGAGATAAATTGATTAATTATCACATATTTTCCCTAAAGATATACAGATAAAATGTGGGAAGAATAGAAAAGGTACAAAAGTGGGAAAACGAAATTTCTTAAAATAGAAAATTGGTGTTGTTTCATTTTATATCTTATGCTGTGTGAGGAAGTTACATTTTAACTCAACCAACCTGATTATCCTCTGGTGTATTTTGATCAAATCCACTATATCTTCGTAACAGTCATGGTAGTTGGACGCCGGTTTTAACGGAGTGTTTTCCCGCCGGTTGCCGAGGTTCCGGACCTTCATTTGCAATTGACGTAAGAGCATGCTGATGTGACTGGCCATCGTTATGAACAACAGATCCGCTCCGACCATTGCGCACACTGAGAATGAACCTAGAAATGAGGAACATAAAACAACTGAAAGTACAACGAAATACGGGTGAAGTGCACCGGATATATGTTTAACAATAGAGAAATAATTAAGAGAAGTACCCTGGGGGATTTTTGCTTAGAATACCCGTCTGTGAAAAGAAGAAGAACTCCTTTAAAGAAGACTATAGTGAGTAAAATAGAAATAACACATCTTTTAATAGTGTTATGTTTCTGTCAAAGAGTAATGTGTCCATGGCCCTACGGGGTACGTGATGGGTTCCGGGTAGGCAACTTGTGAATGGTACTCTTGTATTATATGTAGGGATGCAAAGTCTTTTGAAATATCGATATTTATAACGAAGTCAGGAAAATATCGATATCCGATATATCGACCATTTTAACTCGATATTATCGATATATCGATTTTTTTTCTTTTGGTTTGTTTTATTGACAGTAGAATACGGAGTGAGTGTGACACATTCATATGTTTGTTGGCGAGTTTCTCGCAAAATGCATTGAAGCAGCTTTTTCGTTAAACACGCTTGATGAAATCGCGCCAAGCAGGATTTTTTTTTATTGACTCGCACGGTTTGTGTATCAGCCACGACAGGAAACCAAAAAATTAAAATTATTATCCTGATCAGATCACTCACATTCGTTAGCACAAATGCGCCAACCCGCATATGTGGGACGACATTTGCAAATGCCTTCGTTAAGTTTTCACTACATTCGTGCTTTTCCAAGCTATGTCGGTTTTTTAGCGCACATCAAATACGCAAATTGCTTAGTCTCCCACACATCAGGGGCGTGCCCATGGCTTCAGAATCGGGTAAGCCCAAAGCTTCCAAAATTACTATACCTATCTTACTTTCTTGACTTGGCGAGCTTAAAAAATTTACGATTTGTATACGATTCTTAATTTTATTTTGTGTTTTATTACACTGGTATTAAATTTCAATCAATCAGTAGTTGACAATTATCTAGAAAGAGAGGCAAGGATTTTATTTAAGTGCATGAGTTACCATTAGGTATACGATTATAACTATATACGTTGGTGTCGATTCTGGCATGATTATCTAAACTTAAAACTAAAATCAACATCACTCTTTCCTTTTCATTCTGTATAGAGATTGACAAAGATACACTGTTGTCAAATTTAATTTTAGGTTTAGAGAATCATGCCAGAATCCACACTAGTTTAGTATATTTCTTGGGGTTCAAGATTTTTTTAATACATCTATAAGCTCTTGAGATTTCAAAGCAATAGTTATTTCGATATTATTCAATTTAGATAGTCATAGCAGGTATTATTGTGTTCAAATTTAGTCTACGTAATATCGATATTTTGGGTTTTCCGATATCGATATTATAGATATCAGTGAGTTTTAAATATCGATATAAATATCGATATTTTGGTCTCGATATTATCGATATTCCGATATATCGTTGCAGCCCTAATTATATGGCCGCATTAGTTTGCGGATAGTTCAGGTGGGTCAATGGGTTTGTTTGACACGCATTTTCGAAGCAAATAGCTCGAACAAATCGCCTCCTTGCGATGACAACGTGGCATCTCATTAAAAACATTTTTTTTACTATATGATACACAAAACCGCGGTGTCGAATTTTATTTTCTACAAAAACGTGGTATTTTAAACGTAATCACTCACGTTCACGTTTTTAATGAGATAGCACATTGTCATCGCATACACACACCAAAAAAAGTTTGCAATCACTTTGAAAAATAGATTGTTTTTTGTGTTACAGAAAACTTTTTTGTAATTTCTTTTTATGATAAGATTCTAAATTTTAACATTAGAATTAATACGTAATACAACAACAATCAATTGTTTTCCGATATAAAAAGATATGCAATCCAAGCTGACACTCATTCAGAAATCTAATTTTGTTTAAATTATGGAACTTAAAATATATTTTCACGGAAAGTAGTGATTTAAAAAATGATTATCGAGGATAATCAGATGTTTTACGAACCAGAATTGTAACTTTTGAATAAAAAAAAAGTAAAAATGGGCAGTAAGTATTGGTGGGTGCTAAACGTGCCTTTCGGAGTCACTCATACTTTGGAACGGAAATTGCGACGATTGCAGACCAAACTCACTATACACAGCTCCATCGAGCTCTTTAATAATAAAAAATACGTGTGGCACTCGGGGACTGCCGCGGTAAAGCTATTGCATAGCATTTTTTATCAACTTATGCAATTATAATTATTTATTAATGCAGTTTTTTTTCCTTTGATGTTAATTTATGTTTTTTCTTTGATATTAATTCATGTTACACTTTTTGAGTGCGGTGACCGATAAGAAAACATTTTTTTTTATTTAACTGAATAAATGAAAAGTTAATATTGTTTAAAATATTTTATACTCTTACATGCGAGCTTCGTACAGTCATACCATATATACATGCACTTTAAGGTTCAACTAGTCGCGGGCTCGAACTCACTCGAGTCGATCAGTTATGAGTAGTTAGCAGCTAGTATACACGTATACGTCTAGTCGCACGCACACAAATACCGTGCCGAAGTCTGCCGAACTGAAACGACGTTAGACGATGCACAGCTTTCAACGCCGCACCGCTGTGCCGGTCGGAGTGGGGGGTGTTAAAAGAAAGAAAGAAAAAGAAAAAAAGAAAGAAATATTTTTTTATAAAATAAATTTTCTAAATATTTTGCCAGGACCTGCTTATAGTTATTTATGCTGGCGGTTGGCGCGCGTGAAGCGCTCGTTGATGTAGACCCGGGCGCCACCCCCCACGGCGGTGGCCGTCGGGCCGCCGTCATCTATGGTGTCCGGGGCGCCGTCCTCCGAATCCGCGGCCGGGAGGCCGCTCTCAGCAACAGTGATACTGTGGCGCACACGCGCGGCCGCCAAGAGGTCGTCGCGCAGCTGGCGGCACACCAGGCGCACCATCACACGGCGCGGCCGGCCTCGCGCCTCGGCGGGCAGCGCGCCCACACGCTCCGCATACACCAAGTTCCGCCTGTCGAGAGTCACTCCCAGCTGCACAGGCCAGCATGGTGACGCTCTGCTCCACGCTGACGCCCCTCTCTTCGGGCAACCCGCCTATCTCCAGGTCGGAAATCAACGCCTTCTGATCGTGGTCGTTAACCTCGGCGCGCAGCTCGGATATGGTGCGCTCCAAGTCCATCCTACCAGTTGCATCAGGATCCACTTGACGCTGCTCCAACATTCTCTACTCGAAGGAGTCAAGTCAAGCGGTAGAAGAACTGCGGAAGGCCGCCATCTCCGAGCGGAATTCCCTCATCTCAATCATGCAGTCGGCCAGCATACTTTTTATATCACTGGTTTGATTATTTCCGGCGGCGTTCTCCTTGGCCTTACCCTGGACCTCATCTTCCTTTGGAGAGCCACTGGCCAGGTCGACAGATTCCCGCGCAGTAACCGGTTTTTCGGGATCGGAAGATTCGCTTATACCCTTTACAGGCGTATGCGTGTTGTCACCCTTGCGTATGCTCTTCTTGCAGTTCGGGCATATCCAGTCCTTGTTGACACGCGACTTTTACGGGATGGCGAGGCAGGCCTTATTATATTTTATTGGCCAAGCACAGCAAACAACAGCATTGCCCGGCGCCAAAAAACTATCACAAGCTCCACAGTTTACCATCTTTAGTCCAAAAATTTATATTATAATTATAAAGTCTAAATAAAAATAAGAACCGGTGTTGGGGTCTAAAACAAAAATCAAGAGGTTCATTTCTGGGTTGTAGTATTGCATTGTTTAATAAAGTTCCCCTAGATCTGATTGAGCTACCACTGACTAAATTTAAATCTCAGATCAAAAATACTCTTAAGAATAAGGGCTATTATAAAGTTGATGATTATCTGAATGATCGTAATGCATATAATAATACATAGTGTTTCTTATAATTTGTTATTTTATGGGTATTAGTCATTTTCCATAACAGTAATATTGTACCTATCTAATGCCGCTTCCTATATACTAAATATAATGTTAACTATAAAATTTATTGTAACTATATATTTATATTCTAAATGATAGGAAGGTGACTTCAGACGTATCTCTGAAGTCATTTTTCAACTTGACGACTCTGTATTTTACAATACAGGGAGAAAAAAATAGCCCTTGCTGAGTTTCTTGCCGGTTCTTCTCAGTACAAGGTCTCCCGCCGTAGTTTTGCGAACCGATGGCATAGCTTCTTGACCTTCACAAGTGCTTGTAACAGCCTAGACTGAATAAATTACTTTTCGTTTCATTTCATTTATATAACAAAAAAATTATAATAAAAAATTAAAAATACGAGTGCGGGATTTGAACCGACGACCGCGGTGATGCGTCGAACGTTGGTACCGTGGTAAAGATTTAACACACTGCGCCGTTTAGATTGATACTGAAATGGCGAAAATTGTGTTCTATTGGTATATACACTCTTGTAAGATTTTTTCGTTACGGAATTTTTTGATTCGGTCGCCGCGCTTAAAGCCCGCGACAAAAGCTATATAATAGCTTTAAAATGCTTATATTTTCTTATGAAGAACTTAAAAAGCTTACCGGCAAACATTTCGTAGATATAGGCGATCGTATGAGGCAGTACAGTGGTCGTTTGAAACGGATAGTACACGTGCCATATGAAGCCGATGCTTGCAGGCATGCCCCTCATCTTGTAGAAGCAGTACAAGATTACCGGTGTCAAGTTGTAGCCCCACAGGCCGATGTAGGTATTCTTTAGGTAAACTGCAAATCATCATTAGCATATTATTAGGGCGTCCGCTGCCTTAGGCGGGAGCACGGAGCGTGCTGTTTCATGTCATTTCACAGACAAGTGCTGCGTGAGGCGGGTCTTCCGTCGCATGGGGCGCAGGCAGCGGAGTCCGCCCCGAGGCCGCGCGGGCGAACGCTCGACTGACTGTCTTCTGTTCTCTTATCTGCGTTGTCTTTTGGCAAGGTAGTATCATCAATAAAAATAATCCATTAATTGACTGTTCATTCGCGTGATAGAAATTGAACTGGCTGCCGCCACTGCGAGAGGCACGGAGCGGATCTCCGCGGAGAATGAGAGACCCTTGGACAATTTATTGAGATTGAATAAATTAACTTACAGTTTTGGACGTACTTGAGGGTGGACAGGCTCGAGCGCTTAATGGCTGCCGATTCCTTATCAGGTAGCAATACCGGCCAGAGGTCCGGTAATTCGTTCACGAGCCGACGAAACGCACTGCGCTTGTACCAAATTGTTAATAGCTTGCCGAAGCCTAAACGAATGAAATAAAAATAAACCTTTCTTATCATACTTATACAAAAACTGACTTCACATACATAAAACCACAAAAGAAATAAGAAACAATAAATTTATTAGTCCAGTAAATTTATTTATCAGTGCTTTATGCAAGCCGGTAGTTCGATGTAGACTTGTTAATACCTATCAACCCGCACTGGTCCAGCGTGGTGGGTGATGGCCCAAATACCCGCCCGCAAAGGAATGTTACTAACCCAAGTGCCCGGTGGTATCGGAGGCCGTACCAGCAATGATGGACGTTGGCCAATCGCCGGGACCAGGAGTGCCAAGAATCCCCGGATGGCGACTTCTCTCCGTCATTATGGAACCGAGACGTGATCGCTTACAATGGACCTCATAAGAAGACTCGAAGTCACGCAAAGGGCAAAGGAAAGGGCTATGACCGGGGTTTTTCTGCGCGATCGAATTAGAAATAATGAGATCCACAGTAGAACTAAGGTCGCTGACGTAGCTCAAAGAATTGCAAGCCTTAAGTGGCAGTGGGCAGGGCATATTGCAAGGAGGACTGACGGCCGTTGGAGTCGAAAGGTCCTCGAGTGGCGGCCGCGTACTTGGAGGTCTCCCAAAGGCGGACGGACGATCTGGTAAAGATGAAGTCGCTGGATACGGGCAGCGCAGGACCGATCGGCTTAGAATTTCTTGGGAGAGGCCTATGTCCAGTAGTGGGCGTCTCTCGTCTGATATGATGATGGTGAATTGAATGCGTTAAATAGACCACTTAAATGAAAAAATAATTTTAGTTGTTTCATATAAATTGCACTATTTTAGCCTCCCTGACCATAATAGAGGAGTAAATATTGCAGAAAATTTGTATTATGTTTAAGTATATCATAATTTTAAAGAGGGTATTTAAGATCAACATAAATGGTACGACATACGACAAGTATTACAGATATACTTACCCACCCATGCACTTGTTAACGCTTTTAAAGTGTTTTACGGCCCAATCCCGATTTTTTTTAATGTAAGATTTTTATTTTATTCTTTATTTGAAGACTTGGTAAAACTGCACTTCTCAGGCCCGACAGTTTAAAGGTCTATGATAACGCATTTTTGTGTCACAACACTAAACTAACCTAACCAAGAGTAATGTTTCAACTTCCAGGCCGAAGAAGTACAGTTAAGTCGAAGACTTACTCATCGTGTCGTATCCAGCAATGTGCAGGTAGCTTCCCAGGAAATCCTCTAGGGAACTCTTAGTGGCAACCAACGAAGCTGTGAACACTAACTCGCCTACTAACATCGTAAATAAGAAAGTTATAGCTATAATCAGCGAAAAATAAACCCTAACCCTTCCGAATACGGTCGTAGGACTTGGATCAATAAATGATAAACCCATAGCTCTAATTTGCATGTTACACGCTTGCATAGTTTCAAGGATTTCTTTCAGAGCGATCTTTTTTTGCTCTTTCGTCATATTTATGTTGTTGTGCATAGTTACATCACTAGTCATCCTAAATAGATAATTATGAAAAAATACAGTAATTGAATAATCTTAACGTTCGTGGTTCTAACATAAAAATTAAGTTTAATTGAAATGATGTAACAACTTGGGTTTGTAGACACGGAACCATAAATATCGAAGCAACCTCATAAATTTGGTAAAATTGGTATAACTCACTATTTAGAACTGTTTCATGAAATATGAATGTGCCATGACATAAGTTTAAGAAATATTTAAAAAACCTCACTACACGGAACGTATCCGACGTCAGTAGAAGCCGTAATGAGCGAAAGTCCTTTTATTAACTCACAACAGGCCAGGTACCTTAATTCTATTAATAATTAAGTTAAATGATTACATACTTAATCGTAATAAAACTTTTTTAAGTTATGACGATATTTTGAGTTGTAACTTCAACGACTCGTTGAAGTTAAAAGAATACGATCATACTTAATAAATAATTGTGTCTAAATAATTATGGCGAGTTCGGAATTTACTGTTATGTAAAATGAAAATAATATGTCTACTGTTATGTATACTGTTAAATTATTATGTCTACCGTTATGAAAAACTAAAATAATATACAGCTAATGCGAAGCAAATGAAAGAGTGTACAGCGCTTCGGGGTAAAAGAGTTAAGCATTATGAAACCGCTTCGGTAGTGTACTGAAATCACTTACTTGATGTATTGACAAGGATTTACCGTTATGAAAACACCTAAGTGATGGTATGAAACCACTTGGGTGATGGTATGAATTAGTAATCAGTCTTATGAAACCATTTAGGTAAATGTATAAATGAATATTCAGCGTTATAAAACCACTTAGGTGATAGTATGAAATAGTATTCAGCTTAATGTAACCACTTAGGTGAAGATATGAATTAGTAGGTAATGAGTGTTATAAAACCACTTAGGTGATGGTATGAATGAGTATACAGCGTTATGAAACCACTTAGGTGATGGTATGAATAAGGAGGTAACCAGTGCTATGAAAGCACAAGTGATGGTATGAATTAGGTGGTGATCAGTGTTATGAAACCACTTAGGTAATGGCAGTGTTGCCACCTTTAATTTGGATAAGTCACTAGAAGTTCCATCTAATCTCGCTAGATTATGAGATTTCAGGATATTAAAAATTCTTTAGTATTCCCTAGATCCTATTCAGTCATGATTATAGTTGTAAAACAGTGGTTCTTATCGAATAGTTAGCCAAAGCAGCCGATAATAACGTTTAGACAGCGGTTGACAACTAGCTGTTTATTCGACTACACGACCAAAAGGTCTTACAATTTTTTGGAATTTTAAATATACAACTTAGAATTGTTAAAATATACGAGTCGCTTTACACAAATAGATATTTTTACTAAGTAATGTTTAAACAGCGACTGACAACAGGCTGCTTATCTGAATCAATTCCAAAAAGTCGCGAATTTTTACAGTTCCTGAGTCGAAATTGTTATAATATAAGAGCTGCTACATACAAATTACCATATTTAATAAACTAATGTGCCTCGGTAGTAAGTACCTACTTTGTCATAGTGTCAAACATAAAATTGTCAATATTATGACTTAGTTTGCAATGTACTTCAATATCACGATTGTGGATCGTCGCCTTTGCCGTCTTGAGAAAGTCGCTAAAAATCACCAAATCTATACCTAATGACTTAGCAAATGCAAAAAATCATTGAGTTATTGCAGAATTCCCTAAATTTAGCGACAAATTCCCCAAAGTGGCAACACTGGGTGATGGAATGAATGAGAAGGTATTCAGCGTTATGAAACTACTTAGGTGATGACATGATTTAATATTTAGCGCTATGAAACCACTTGGGTGATGATCTATACCATCTATAGAAGAGTTTTTAGCGTGAAGTTAATTAGCCTGTTTTTGGGTTTTAATATCTGTGTTCATCGTAAATCGACGTGTGTTAACGTCACATTATATAAGTGACTCGCTTTCGGCTCGCTTTGGTGTAGACTATAGTTTTTGTTCTCGGCCTTGATTTTTATATAACTATACCTTTAAAACTTTAAATATATCCTTCTTTCATTCTATTACGTTTCAAAAATTATCCAATAATATATAAAATTACGTTATTTCAATAGAACATATAGAAATTAAAAATAGACTGATAAAAAGAAAGAAAAAATGATTACTCTGTCCTTCGTACTATACTATCCTTACTACTTCAGCTTAATTATACAACATAAAGTAGCCAATTTTAGCAAAACCTATTCACATAAAAAAATTAAATAAGCTTATGAGAAATTCAGTAAAATACAGTAAAAAAAATATTCGATTGGAACCCATTTCCGCTCAACATTTTCCATTAATAACGGGTTGTAAACTTTTTCAATACTTCGAGCAAAGACAACGAAACTTGCCCTAAACTTTCTCGTAATAATAGGGTGAGATTGAGTCGCTATTTTTTCTTTTGAAATCGTGGGAATATTCCAGATTGCCTATTAGAAAAACGTGTTGATTTTAAAAATTTACATACCTATGTTTTGAATAATGAAATAGTTCATCTTCATTATAATTTAAGTTATTTTAAAGGAGATCAATTCATTCAGATATTGAATTAATAAGTTTTTGTTCAAGCTGCCTCTATTTTCCACAAAAAATAACAGGGTGAAAACCGTACACCTTATTCAAAGATATGGTTAAACTCTACACCTTAGCCAAAATAATTGGCTTGGCCATTTCGCTACATTCACATGGGCGTAAGGTGAAAAATGTATCCACTGGTCATTAATTTTGTGTTATAAAGTAGTTCTTGTAGCAGCAAAACGGCCAAGCCACATAATTTTCATAAAGGTGTAGAGTTTATAAAGTTAGGGCGTGTAGAGTTAGAAGCTTGGCACTACATGAGATCTAATATCTTAAGAATATTTTTTCTAGTAAAATTTTGCTTTAGATTTAAACATCTAGCAGTTAAATGCTTAAAAAAAATATCTTATAACTTTTTACAGTGCGTATCATATGCTTTCGTCTTGGTAACATTTTACATGACATTTTTTTTGTGAGACTAAAATTAGAGGAATAAAATTTTCTAACCAAACAGCACAGAGTTATGTGCGTAATTATTATAAAAAGTTACGCAGTATTTTCCAATTTTATTGTAAACTGATAAAGGCACAGCAATTAAGGCGTTTTTAATCAAAATTGTTAGACTTTGTAAATATAAAGAGGGAAACGATCGAAATAACAAGGACGAAACTTCATAAGTGCAATGCGGCGTCATAATAGGTGACGCTATAAGTGATTTTGTAAATCGCTTAGATATTAATTTTAATATAGCAGATTTACGAATTGGTTTAATAGGATAGTTGACAGTTTCGATAATACTTTAGATTAAAACAAAATGGGAAGATACAAAATGGCGATTACGAAAATAAAATTCACGACAATCAAATGATTTTACAGTTTTGTGTTGCCGAGGCATTTGTTTTTATTTTTTATTTTTGGACTATTTGTGTTCTTTATAAAAACACCGGAGGCATTGTTTTATCTGTATAACACAGAAGATACGCAATATACGGGGTTATATTGAGTGCACATGCAGCGTGTTTGAATGTCCAATTGTGACTAAAGCGAATTGTGATCATTTACCATACTAGCTTGGCATTAGGCAGACATCGCATCCGTAGTAGTGATGTGCCGAGTCGGTTATTTTTGGTATTCGGGTATTTTAGTACTCGTTAAAAAAAGATTCGAATTAGGACTCGAGTCGGAAGACTCGGACAGGTATTCGAGTACTAGTACGAGTATTCGAATACTTTTCAGGTCTCGAGTATTTTTTGAATCGGACCTTGTAATTTGCTTCATCATCATCATCAAAAATCATATTATATGAATGATAGGAAAATATGTTAATAATAATACATTAAATGTATAATCAGTCATTTATTAATATTATAATCATCATATTAATAAACTCTCGGTCTATATTCTTCGAGTTGATCTGAATAGCACTTTTTGACAAAAAAGGCATCTGTAATTGTCATTTACGACTTACTTTTCGCTGATACTTGTTCAATGTCATTTGATTAATCAAAATCATTTATTCAGTTTAGGCTGTTACAAGCACTCATGAATGTCTAGAAGCTACGCCATCGGTTCGTAAATCTACGGCGGGAGACCTTGTACTGAGAAGAACCGGCAAGAAACTCCGCAAGGGCTGTTTTTTTCTCCCTGTTTTATTATTTACAGAGTCGTCAAATTGAAAAATGACTTCAGAGGTGATTCGTGAAGTCACTTTTCATTACATAATTATTAAATATACATTAATTGATTACCTGCATTTTGATTGCTGTGTCATAAAGTATAAATACAAATAGTGTTATTTATATTCAGTGTGACTAAACATTAACTTCAATATTAAGGAAGTTAGGGCAGACTCATCTCCGCTGGCAGCACCCGTTCACGAGCATGACGCATGAACCAGCCATCGCTTCGCTCAACCATATTTTAGGGAACGTAACGACCCGCCTCACACGACACCGC